ACACAGAGAGAGAGAGAGAGAGAGAGAGAGAGAGAGAGAGAGAGAGAGAGATTCAGCTAAGTTTTAGGGCTAGTGTTATGTGGGTGTCTTTGAAAGTGTGTGAAGCAAGGAGTTGAAGGATTCAAATCCAACACAGGCATGTTATGTCAATTAATTATGTTTACCGCTTCATCTATATTTGGTGGCCATATATGGTTTCACTATTTAGTACCAATACTTGTGTGAATTTGTTGGTATCATGGTTTGAATTAATCTGATGCATCATGTTGTAAATGCAATTGAAGATGGAGGTTTGTATGCAAAAGATGGTGAGAATTAGCAAAGAAAAAATCATTAAAAGTTTGATTTAGGAGATACTCAGTTTACAACTTTCTTAAGGATTATGGAAGGTTATAAGGTAATAAATACTGGCAAACCCTGTTTGGCGCTCACTGCATCAAGTACCGGGCAAATCACATAAGGAGCGGTCATTACATCAAATAGCGGGCAATTCACACATGGAGGGCATTGGCAGACCGAGCCCATTAACATTTTATCCTATAAGTTTTTTTTCAGGTTTCTTTGTCTCTTTCTATTTTTTCCTATGCAATTTCCTTTTAGGTTTTCTTTGGATTAGTATGTTTTGGAATTTTGGTTTTCTAGTTTCCATTAATTCTTATTTTATTTTACTATTTATTGTTTATTCCCTTTTTACATTTAACATATTTTATGGAAATATGGCACTTTTAAAATATCATTGTTTTTTTATAAAATTAATGAAATTTGAAAAGCTGTTCACTAATTTTAAAATTATTCACGAATCTGAAAAGTATCCACACATTAGAAATGATGGAAACAGAAAAACCAAACAAAAATCAAGAAAACGAGATAAAGGAAAAAACCGGAGAAAAGCGTCCGTAGAGTGTGTCACGCCATAACCGAAAACAATGAAATGGGCCGGTCTATAGCAAGAGGGTGTGTGTTTCCCCACCAATTTGATGCAGAACACATCATATATAATTGTTTTAGAGGATGGGTTGCTTCACAAGAAACTAAAACCTTGTTCGGGCTGTCAATGCCTACATGCACCGCGGAGCCGTCATTACATGAAATAGTGGGAAATCACACATGAAGGGCATTGGCGGACCGAGCCCATTAAAATTTCACTTTTTTTCCCTATAAGGTATTTTTTAAGGTTTCTTCATCTCTTTTCATTTTGTTTTCCTTTTAAGTTTTTTTTGGATTAGTATGTTTTGGATATTTGCTTTTCTAGTTTCCATTAATTCTTGTTTTATTTTATTTTCATTCCCTTTTTACATTTAACAGATTTTATGGAAATATGACACTTTTAAAATATCCATGTTTTTTTATAAAATTCGTGAAATTTGTAAAAAAAATCACTAATTTTCTAATTATTCACGAATCCGAAAAATATCTACACATTAAAAATGATGGAAACCAAAAACCAATCAAAAATTAAGAAAACGAGATGAAGGACTTTTTTTTGGAGAAAAGCGTTCCTAGAGTCCATCACACTATAACCGAAAACAATGAAATGGGCCGGCCTATAGCAAGACAGGATGCTTTTCCCACCAATTTGAACATATCATATAGAATTTGTTTTAGAGGGTGGGTCGCTTGACATGAAATTAAAACCCTTCTTCGGGCTGGCAGCGCCTACATGCACCGTGGATAAGGGGCAAGAGAAACCTAGAGAGAGAGAGAGAGAGAGAGAGAGAGAGAGAGAGGGAGAGGGAGGGGAGAGAGGGGAAGGGGGAGATGGAGAGGGAGAGGGCGTGGGAAAGAAAGAGAGGGAGGGAGAGGGAGAGCGAGAGATTTATCAGGTCCCCTCGCCTTCGGCTGCCATCTTGGCATTCAGAGGTCAAGGGACTTCAGATCTGAGAGATTTGTGGTCACATTGTTGCTTTTTCGAATATATTTTCTCTCTCTACCATGGTGGTGCTTTGGAGGCAGAGATGTCTCCATCCTCGCAAATCCGTTTATTCAGATATGATGAGTTTCTGTTATTGTGTCTTATGTTTTTTTTGAGTTTGTTTGATTCTTTGCAGTGCCGAAATATTTTGTTGATGCTATGTTGAAGACATCGTGGTTCTACAACCTGCACTTATAGGGATTGTTCTTGGCCCATGTCTGTCATCGATTATGACTTCCCCTCTATTTGGATGGGCGACTCAAGAGGTTTTCAGAAACTATTGGTAATCAAGTTTGTGCGCATGAACGAGTGACAGTTTTGATGCTCTGTTCCAATCACAATCTCACTGATGTCCTAGAATTATCTCATCTTGTAAAGATTGATACCATGGAGAAAATATTTTAATACATTTATTTGTAATATTATAGGAACTACTTTGTATTTTCTGAGACCATTTATCGAGAGCATTAATTCTACTATTAAAGGGGAGTTGGTAGGTTCGTCTCACCTCCTCTCTCGATTTATCCTCCCCACGCCCCCTACCTCATTTGGTTTTCTATTGTTTTTTGGGTAGTCTCAACCAATGTCGCACAAAATAAAAAAAAAACCAACATAAGTAACCTGAAATAATATAAACCATACCGGTCCTTTTCCCCAAACCGCATCTTGCATTAGCTCAATCAAAATCATTTTTTTTTACCAAAATCTCAACTAAATATTTTTTTCTTAGTTTCCACTACCCATAGCCAAACAAAATCATATATTATCAGACGCTCAAGTAAATTTAACTTTTCTTCTTGCCTTCGCCTACCCATATTCAAATCAAATTATATTTTGCCAAAATCTAGAATATGATGGATGTAAAGTATATATCAGACAAGATTGATGTTGAACCACTGGCATCACCTGCACCTATAATAATTGAATAAAGTTACATGTCTTCCTAGCAAAAAAAGTGTTGCAGTCGGTGCATGGTAGCCGTCTAGCCTTGTATTTGTTCAATTGTACGCTCAAGTTGGCAACTGTCAGTTGGCCGCTAGCTGCCCACAGGGGCGGCTTAATTTGAGTCCGTTGACGGCGGCCGTGCGTATACCTGCTCTCCTTGGGAATGATCACTAAGCTTTGTCTATGAAATTAGCCAACAGCACGATGTAGGTGATGATTAGCTTGTAGAATAATCATGTATCTGCAATCTATTGATGAAGGACAGCTCGAAAGATACATATCCACGGTTGCGTGTCGGGCCGTTTAATTGATGTAGACAATCATTTCCAAAAGTTTTAAAAACACGCAGGGGAAGAAAATTCACAGTATACAATTTGTATCTTTGTTGGAGGCTACATACATTACTATCGGTTTCATTTATCTTGAGGAAAGACAACTCGAGTTCTTCTGCCATGGCGTCAATCAAAGGTTTTGTTTTTGCGAGTTAGCACCAATCAGGATTTCACTTTTCCTTTAACCAAAAGTAAAGATTTTGCATTTTTGCAATTTAGATTAAATTTATTTTGAGTTAGTTATGTTAAACAAGGAAAAATAAATACTGAACACATAGTTACAATAAGTCCACCCGATCGTCATGGAACATTTTGCACCCTAAACCAAGACACCTCTAGTCGAGGTAGCCACAAACACAAACTCAAATGGCACTACTCGTTGTTCCCTACTTAGTGACTTTGACGAAAAACTTCAAACCACCAGCTTACCGAAACCATGCCGGCTCCGCCAAACGGACGACCGGACTGTCTCCTGACAAGGCATCTCCGAGACTCTGGTTTTGCCGGTCACTGGGGAAAGCACACATCTACAACTTCACCCCTCCACGGTGACAACCAATTTTTTTTTTTGATAGCTTCTAAAATGTTAGTATCACAAAGCAATCAAAGACATATTTTTCCAAAACAGAAGGGTATCAATTGGACGCCAATTCTTGTAGGCATACAACAAAGAAGAAGTTTGCAACACTCGTGCCGTGACACATTTTTTGCTGGATGAACACCGCTACGAACGATTATTGTTCCCTTCACAAGCTCTTCCGTTTTACAGGTATACACCCACCAAATGATCAGATGCCAAAGATTTTAAAGAATATCGAGAGACAAAAAAATGAACAAGAAACTAGCCGAGGAGCCGATGTCCTCTGCCTAAATCTGAGACAAACTCTGCACCTCACCAGCCTGCATGAACAGTCTGACCCAGAAGTCCATCTCGTCGTTGCTGGACGACGGCGATGCACTGTCTGCGCCCAAGGTGACGCCGGCCTCCATGGCGGAACCGGAGCTGTCCACCGTCATTGCCAGTGTCTCCGACCAAAAGCTGTCTTCAATCTGAAACTCCTCCGATGTAAAGCTGTCTGTGTTCTCCAACGACGACGGCATCGAGTAATCGGTGGCGGACGACGAGATGGGCTGCTCCGGTGACGACACTGGCATGGAGGCCGGGCCATCGGCTGTGCTCGCTGCAGCCACAGGCTTCTTGGCTTTGCGCTTAGGCGCTGCCTGGCCGGACGTCTTGGACGAGGACGAGTCGAGTCGCTTCTTGAGGTGTGTGTGCCAGACGTTCTTGATCTCGTTGTCCGTCCTGCCAGGCAGCCTGGCGGCAATGGTGGACCATCTATTGCCGAGCATGGCGTGGAGCTGGATGATAGCGTCTTCCTCCTCGCCGGTGAAGTTGCCGCGCTTGATGTCGGGGCGCAGGTAGTTGATCCACCGGAGGCGGCAACTCTTGCCGCAGCGCAGCAGGCCGGCCTGCTTCGGCAGCGCCCGCCAGTTGCTGTGCCCGTGCTGCTCGATGTGAGCCACCAGGGTCATGTCCTCCTCTGCCGTCCATGGCCCCCTCTTGAGCCCCGTCTTCTCGCAGCAAGGAGACCTCCCCATTTGCTACCTTGCTCACTTCTCTGCTCTTCTCGGCCGATTAATTAAATTAAACCTCTGGCGCTGTGTGTGTGATGTATGGATTGCTCAGTGTGTTGACGCTGGTCCGAAGGTAATGGCTGCCTGAGCTGCTAGGAAGAATACGGCTGGTGCTGTGTAGATTGCGGAAGGGTTGCGCTATTTGTACTCAGCGCGCGGCGATGGCGAAAACGTGGTCAATTGGAGCAGGTTCCGAGCAGTTGCGGCCATTGGCTGACAAAACGAGGGAGAATTGTGGCGTTATATCCAAGTGGTTAGTGTTCTTTTTCTATTGGATGATGATGGAGTACGTTGCTTGCTTCCTTGTTTATTGCCCGGCTTCTCTCTCGAAGTACAAAAGTTTGTTGTGTCAGGCATGCGTGTGTGCCCTGCTTTGTCGGTTTGAAAAAGTAGGAAGGTGATGTGCTTTTGGTTCCATGGTTATCTGCAGTAATTTTTCATAACTGTTTCCGGTTACTGGTGAATAAAATCATTCTCTAGCCACTAGAGAGCAGCATACTACTGTAGTTTAGTTCTTGGATAGACAGCTTCATTTAACAACTTAGCTTTCTTTCTTAGGCAGTTAGCACCTTGCTTTTTTTCTCGATAAAGGGCTTTTCATTGAATTGAAATATCGAGTTGATACAACCGCATCAAAGATCACCCGGCCTCTGCATAGCTAGATGCACACAGCCAAAGTTTCAAAGTACTAGAAGCCAAAGTAAAAAGGCAAAAAACGCCAGCAGTAGCGAAAAAAGATAAAAGAGGCCTAAGGTGATGCCGGTCCAATCCGAAGGTCACACCGCCATCCATGGGGGTAAAAAATGTCCCTGGCCGAGCACTCCAACCGGGTAGAAGCCATCATAAAAAGGTCTCTATCCTCCGGCCTCTGCAGGATAGACCACATACGGAGCCATCGCGAGCATATATGAATTACCTGCATAGGAGATGAAACACTTTTATGATTAAAAACAATATCATTCCTGGTGAGCCACAACGCCCAACATAAGGCAGCCGCCCCCGCAAGAATGTGCTTAGACAATTGTTTATCTATTCCCCTCAACCAATTGCCGAACATATTCCGTACGCTGCGTGGAGGATATAGATTCGAAGCAATTTGGACTATTGCCCATACCGATCTAGCAAACTTGCAATCAAAAAATAGGTGTTTAATGGATTCATTATGATTGCAGAAAACACATTTTTTGCAGCCTTGCCAGTTTCGTCGAGCTAGATTGTCCCTAGTTAAGATAACTCCTTTGTCGAGAAACCATAGGAAAATTTTCACTTTTAGAGGAATCTTAAGCTTCCACAATTTTCTATTATCAGATGGAACCTCGTTATGAACCAATGCATCATACATGGATTTAACCGAAAATCTTCCATTCAGATGCAGGTTCCATTTAAAGATGTCCGATTCAGCCGACAGTTGGACAGCTCCCAAACGAGTCAGCAAATCGTTCCATGCAGTCAGACGGGGTCCAGAAATCGTTCTGCGAAAAGAAATATCCGGGTGTTCTTGTCCCAATACCTGCTTAATCGTGACAAACTTATGTCTAACTATCCGATATAAGCTTGGGTATTGCACATTTAGAGGAGTAGTCCCGAGCCAGGTGTCTTCCCAAAATCGAATCTGGCAGCCGTCCCTAAACGAGAAAGTGCCAAATTGGAAAAAGAATTCTTTAGATTTCATAACCCCACTCCAAAAATGAGAGTCACCTGGTTTCCAGTAAACCTGGGAGATTGCTTTGGACCCAACGTATTTATTACGAATGATCTCCTGCCAAACACCATCCTCAGTGAGTAATCTGTATACCCATTTGCTGAGCAATGCAATGTTTTTGATCTCAAGATCCTGGATTCCGAGTCCCCCTTGGCTTTTAGGATGACATAATATATTCCACCTAGCCAAGCGATATTTCTTTTTTTCATTGTCACTCTGCCAAAAAAACCTTGATCTAAAATAATCAAGGCGTTGGAGAACACCTTTTGGCAGATGAAAAAAAGATAGCATGTAAAGGACCATGTTGGTAAGAACCGAGTTGATCAGAACTAGTCGGCCCCCATAGGACAAGAGTTTGGCCTTCCAGCTCGCCAACCGTTTCTCCAGTCTCTCTTCAACATGTTTCCATTCAGCGATTGTCAAACGCTGATAATGAATAGGAATACCTAGATATCGAATCGGAAATTGGCCTAGTTGGCATCCAAAAATATCAGCATATTCTTGTGAAGTTTCTGCAGCTTCGCCAAAGCAGAAAAGTTCACTCTTATGAAAGTTTATCTTAAGGCCTGAAAGATCCTCAAAAGCACATAATAACAATTTGAGGTTTCTAGCCTTTTCTAGGTCGTGATTCAAAAACAAAATGGTGTCATCCGCATACTGTAAGATTGACAGGCCTCCTTCTACTAGATGAGGAATGGCCCCGGTGATTTGACCAGCTAGCTTGGCCCTCTCAATGAGAGTAACTAGCATATCAGCCACGATGTTGAAAAGGATAGGTGATGCGGGGTCGCCTTGGCGTAGCCCCTTCCTAGTCTGGAAATAATTGCCTACGTCATCGTTCACCTTGATAGCCACGCTACCTCCAGACACAAAGTTCTCAACCCATCGGCACCAAGTATCGGAAAACCCTTTCATACGAAGAGTTTGAAGCAAAAAAGGCCACTTCACCTTATCATAAGCTTTCTCGAAGTCAATCTTAAAGATGACCCCATTCAACTTTTTACGGTGGAGCTCATGAACAGTTTCATGTAGGACAGCAACACCGTCTAAGATGTTCCGTCCTTGCATGCAAGTTGTTTGTGTTGGTTTGACTACATGGTCTGCGATCCCATTCAGCCGGTTAGTCGCGACCTTGGTGAAAATTTTAAAGCTCACGTTTAATAAGCAAATCGGTCTATATTGTTGAACCCGATTGGCATCCTTTATCTTTGGTAAAAGGATAATTTCACCAAAATTGAGTCTGAAGATGTCTAGTCTATGAGCATGCAGTTCATTAAACAATTGAACCAGGTCAGACTTTAACATATCCCAAAAAAATTGATATAACTCCGCTGGAAAACCATCCGGTCCCAGAGATTTGTTGTGTTTCATTTGAAAAATCGCAGTCCGTATTTCCTCCTCAGTGAAAGCAGAGGTTAGGAATTCATTTTCCGCAGCGGAAACTTGCTGGATGTCATGACAAATAGACTCATCCATCTCTAGCGTAGTTTCCGAGGAAGGACCAAACAAGTCTTTATAGTATTTTGTAATAAAGTCCTTGAGCGGAGCGTCCCCCTCAATGCGACCCTCGTCCTGATCAAGGGTGAATATTCGTTTCTTTCTATGTCTGCCATTGGCTAAAATTTGAAAGTACTTCGTGTTATCATCCCCAAGTACCAACGAGTCGCTCTTGCACCGTTGGTACCATTTGATTTCCTCTTCGCGTAAGAGACGGGCTAGCTGCTCATTGAGATGACTTTTTTGCTCAATCTCGGCCGCAGATAGAAGCCTCACCTCCACGATCTTATCTAAGGTCCCAGCGGTGTGTTTAGCCCATCCGAGGAGGAATTGGCGCAACGCACGAATGCGATTATTCCAACGTTGAATTGGTGTATCACCCCGTGTTGGGCGTTGCCACACCTTTTTAACCAATTCAGGGAAACCCTCTCTAGTGAGCCACCCCAGTTCAAATTTAAACTAATGGCGGTTCGAAGTGGGTGCTGCTTGACCAAAATGAGTAAGCAATGGAGCATGATCCGATAAGGCCTCAATTCTCTCCAAAGCCCGCACTGATGCTAATGGATATTTAAATTCTCAGTCTGTGGTGACTAGCACCCGATCAAGTTTTTCGAACGTCGGGATATATCTATTATTGGCCCAGGTAAATTGGCGCCCCGAGAGAGAGAGAGTGCCCGCAAATCAAGACTGTCAATGACAGCATTAAAAAGAAACGGCCATCGAGTGTCGAACCTATCATTGTTTTTATCCTGCTGGTATCGCAAAATATTGAAGTCCCCCCCAAGTAGCATGGGGTGAGGATTTTCTCTGCAGGTATTGACAAGTTCTTTGAGGAAGGCCACTTTAAATTCATCTTGAGCAGCACCATATACGGCAACCAAGCTCCAAATGAAATTATCGGATTTGTTTCTAAGGTGGAATTTAATATGATACTCCCCCTTTGAAGTTGAAAGAAGTTCCAAGTAAGTGGAGTGTATTCCGAAAAGAATACCTCCGGACCTCCCTGAAGGCGGCAGGATATGCCATTCGTAATCTTTGCCACATGAAAAATGGTCCAAATCACGGGTTGGAAAGTCACGCTTACTACACTCAGAGATTGCCACGAAGTCGAGGGCATGATCCCTAACACAATCGGAAATATGTTTGTACTTAGCCAAGTCACCAAGACCTCTGCTATTCCAAAACATTCCTTTCATGGAGAAACTTTATTACGTTTGGATACTTTGGTCTTCTTCTTAGGGTGACCCTTTTTACTACCAGAGTTAGACTTGTTCTTACGTACCGATGCAACGAGCTCACAAAGCATCGAATCACGCATGGTATCTTCAAAGTCTACCTCTGTAGTATCATTGACCAGATGAGAGAGGAGTCTGCCTTCATGGTTGGCATCAGACTCCTCATCCTCCTCATCTGATACTAGTGGATCCACCGTCAGAAGCGTTCTAGGAGCAACCGTAAGCCGGTCGAACTCCATTTGCTTAAGAGCTTTAACTGAGAAATCAACTACTGTATCATTTCTACCGAATGAAATACCAAGGCTAGCAATATTTGAAGACATTTTGGCTTTATCAAAAGATAGAAATGATTTGCAAGGAGACGTACCATCAAAGTCGAGGTTCCGCGATGCCGTTCTACGCATGGCCCTCTGCATGGAATCCTCATCAGTGGCAGAGGCCCCATCAGCCCCCACAACATGGCGGCCGCTACGTCTAGGCGGAGAAGGAGTAAACTCCGAAGCAACCCGCATCCCAGAGGGCCGGAAAGG